CTCCCCTATCCCCCAGTGCCTTGTGTCCATTGGTTATGCTTATATGCATGCATACAATCCTTCGGTTGATCTCTTACCCTCCCCCCCCCCCACCCTCCCCGGCCTTTCCGCTGTAGTTTGATAGTCTGTTCAATGCTCTCTGCCTCTGTATCTATTTTTGTTCATCAGTTTATAATGGTCTTTATTATCCATAAATGAGTGAGATCATTGTTATGCCCAGATTTCAAGATCCCCCAAGACAGACCACTAGGGAGCCGAGTCCGATGCAGAAGCATAGAGTCTTTTATTCAAGCCCGGGACTTGGTCCCCCCCCCCCCCCCTCCATTACTGGATGCAAGAGAGAGCCCCGAGTTCCAAGGGAACAAAGAATTTATAGGCCTTGGTGTGGGGGGGGTGGGGGCACCCTCTGACCCCTGATTTGGCCGATTCCGGTTGTTTCTGGGGGGGGGGGCTAGTGACGCAAGGGCAGGGTGCAGCTAGTGTCTGGTTACACAAAGAGGGGGTGGGGGGGGTGGCTAGTATACTCTTGGCCTTGGGCTAGTTTCCCCCGCTTTTCCCATTGGCTGAGATAAGGGCATGCTGAGTAACTGATACATTCTCCGGCTTTTTCTTGGAAGAGGGGTTAAGGACACAGCTATCAGTCCTGTTTTGTCCTTTCAATCATGTGCTATTTTTCTTTCATTGACTGGCTTATTTCACTTAGCATAATGCTCTCCAGTTCCATCCATGCTGTTGCAAATGGTAAGAATTCCTTTTTTTTACAGCAGCATAGTATTCCATGGTGTAGATTTACCACTTTAAAGTATATTTTTATTGATTTAAGAGAGAAAGGGAGAGGGACCAAGAGATCAAAACATCAATAAGGAGAGGGATTTATTGATTAGCTTCGTCCTGCATGCCCCACACTTGGGATTGAGCCCGCAACCTGGGCATGTGCCCTGTCGGGGAATGGAACTGTGAGGTCAACGCTTAATCACTAAGTCATGCTGGCCGGACCTAAAGCTGAGTGAGTGTGGATGTGTTCATGTGTTCAGCCTTCAAGGTAACAGTATTGGCATTGGTAATGCGGTGTAGTCATGTCACTAGCAAACCCTTTTCCAAGTGGCCTTGAACTTTAAATAATATGGACAGATTTCTCCATTGTTGATATATTTTTCTTGTTATATCTACAGGGACATTATGATAGTCACAGTTTTCCACTAATGATACAGAAAAAATTTTAAAGAGATATAATAGTAAGAAAATTAGTTCCCATAGGTTAGTGTGGATCAGTGGTGTAGGGTTTGATTCCTGGTCCTACGGTAGGCAGCCAATCCATGTGTTTCTGTCTCTCTTTTACATTGATGTCTCTCTCTTTTTCTCTCTCCCTCCCTCTACCCGTTTCTTACCTCTAACTTCCTGCCAAAAGTTAATGGAAAAAATCTGCCCAGGTGAGGATTTACAATCACAAAAAGGAAACAATAGGTCTAACTTGTTTTCTATCCTAATGTTTTTCTCCTTATCTATACTAATAAAACATGCTAATTAGACCGGATGTCCTTCCTGACTAAGTCTACCCCTAGCAAAGCTGCCACCTCTCCCTTCAGTTGGGGAGACGAGGAGGGGCTGAGAGAGCCGGCTGCCCTTCCCCTCCCCCTCCTCACAGAGGTTTTAAAGATCCTGGCAAATCAGAGGCAGAAAGTTTCTGGTTTCAACCCCAATCTGCCCGCCTTTTGAATTCTCTGTAACTTCACTGTAAGAATGTGCTCCCGGCTTGTGAAGATCCTGGGAAAGACCCCTCCCTGGGACACCTGCAGCTGAAGGGCAGACCAGCCATAGCTCTAAGCACAGCCTCTGGGTGCTGGGAAACTTCTGTGTGAATTCCAGGCTCCTCCCCTCTTTATGCTTTTGCCAGAGCTGCCATTTACTCGCTAGCACCCTAATAAAGGAACAGCCCCTCTACCTGGGGTGCCTTGTGCCATCAGAGGGCACCTGGCCCTTTCCTCCCTTTAAAGAAGTAAAATAAACGCCCTCCCTCTGCTCCTGTCTCTTCTCTCCCTTGTGAATCCTTTCGCAGCCGCGTCACCAGCCAAAACCCTGACAATGACGTGGGAAACTCCCCCAGGAAGGGCTGTCACTGTGGGAGGAGGTGCGGGGACCCGGGGCGGCCCCCTCCCTCCCGCCCCGCCCCTCCCCTCCCTCTGTCCCTGCACAGGCCTGGCCGCCGGGCTCGGCCCCGCCCCCATCGCGGAGGCGCTCAGCTCAGGCTCTGGCCCCGGCCCACCCGGCAGGGAGAGCATGCTCAAGATCCTTGGAAGACGCGGAAGCGGCCCGTGGAGGGGAAAGGGGGGTTCCCCCCTGAGAGGTTGTTTTGTGTTAAAGGT